TTTATTAAGACTCCTTTCCCCACCTCTGGGATAAACGGGGTGCTTGGTGCTGGGGGAGGCGGGCAGGGGGACGCTGAAGCTGCTGCTCTGGCTGAAGCTCCAGGCAGCAAACACTGAGCTGGGGACTGCAGGGGGGAAGCGGCCGGAGCATCACCCACCCTCCCAGCTCACCATTAGCGAGCTCCTTGCATCCCATCCCTGTGCCACAGCACCCACCCGCCGCCCAGCTAGGAAGAAATCACCTAATCCTACTTCTCTGCCATGCATCAGGTTGGACACGCGCTCAGTGGATAAACACCAGTCCTGTTTATCTCTCAAGGTCTGGCAGTGAGCCTGGCGCTGGGCAGAACTGTTAGTTTCTGTTTCGGTAAGCTGCAAGACTCCGCGGTGGAGTCCCACGGCAGCGCTGGCTCTTCCTCCGCCATGATTTGGGTCACTGCCATGCTATCAGCTCTCCACACCGAGACATAAATCACCCCGACTCATCTCTGCGCCTTCGTTTCCAAACCTTTGCTTGCAGCCCTCCCGTGCAGGCTGGCAGCCCTTACTTAAAGCATGAATTACAGCTGCTTGGGCAGCGTGGCCCTGCCACGGCTCTGCCTGGCCTCTTATCTATAAATTGTCCAAACCTACAGTATCTGCTGGGACCACCGGGGTCCTGCTCAGGCAGCATCACCCGCAGGCTGCGTCCTGCAGGTACCCAAGCCCAAAGTCCCAGCAGAGCTGCTGGACGTGAACGCAGCACAAGCGCTAAGAGCATCCCCAACCCGGAGCAGGGCTGGGGCCAGTGGAGAGCCAGGGTATCCCCATCCTCCGACCGTAACAAGGTCACGGTCATCGGAAGAAAACCATTTCTGCAGCCCAGCTGCTGCCCAGAGTTCAAGAGCTTTTTCTTTGCTCTGGTTCTACCCCAAAATATTGGGGCCGCACCAGAGGTTTTGATGCTACCTGACTGCTGACTGATGCAGAGAAAACGCTTTGCACTGAAATGAAATAACTTGGGAAACTATAAAAATATAGGAGAGCACCTATAAACAATAAAAAGGCAGGAGGGGGAGTGGGACGCTGTGTCTCCTGCCCAAGGGCACTAAGGGATGCTCCACTGATCCCCAGCGAGACAATGAAAGCAACACAGCGCTGGCATGGGGCTGCA